TTCCCTTCCTCCTCCRCCTCAAGACTTTCCTCTTCATTTTGCCTCTATGCAAAAACTGCCCTTCTCCAGACACATAGCAAATGTGTTAGTAAGATAGAGAGCTCAGCTCCAGGCTGTTACATATATTTCTGGACAGGCCCATATGTCAAGTTGTCCCCTAGAGTTTGCTGCTAGGATGCACAATCYACAGCCCATCCCTGACACACCATGCCCCGAGACAAGCCATGCCTCTCTCCAGCCCAGGTTCTTTCATCCTTGTCTTCTGTTTCCAGCAGCCAAGCTTTGGGCCAGTGTTACTCAAGATCCTCCTTCTTCCTCCTTTCCCTCACCCCCTGGATCAGTCATTATGTTCAGTCATTTTTACCTCTCATAACTATTTTCTCTCAGAAGTTACTGGTAACCTTGATATTTGTGCTGCCCATCTCTGATTCATTCTTCAGGAGTATGTGTGGATGGATGCATGTCTTTTTGGTGCTAGGGATTGAGCCCCTAGCTTGCTAAGCATACTCTGTACCCTGAGCTATAATCCAGCCCCCAAAGAGGGAGGTTTTAAAAATCCAAATCAGATCAATTCTCTCCCCTACTCAGGATTCTTTTTTTTCATTTTATTTATCTTTATATTAAAAATAAGCAATTCAGGGGAGGTATAGTTGATATACAGTGAACTGCACATAGTTATGGAGTACATAGGAACCGAGCACCCCTTAGCCTGGAGGGATGAGAATGTGGAGACCTGGCAAAATCCAGCCATGGGCTGTGTGTGTGTGAACTCTGGGCACTGAGTGCACAGAGAGGGCTGAACCAACGTTGCTCCTCTGCTTGGATGGGCCTGGCTCTGGTCTTTTTGCTTGCTCTGCCATGATCCCCACACAGCTCAGGAGATGGGAATGGCCTCCCTAGATGTCACTCAATCTGCTGACAGCAGACATCAGGAAGCTAGACTCCACCACCTGAAACCTAACACCTTGCCTCATTTGAATGGCTTCTCCTCAATAAAAGGGTTCAGCATGTGCTCTCTCTCTCTCTCTCTTTCCACGGACCCCTAATATTGGAGGAGCCATCACAGGACCCAAAGAAAAAGGTATTTCTCTGTCTCTGTGTGATTATTTCATGCAACCCAGTTCACCTGGAGTGACCTTGAGTGTTTAGTTGTGAGATGTGACAGCACATTTTGGTAAGTTTGTACCAAAACTTATGTGTGTACCCATGGAAGCATCAATATTTTCAATCCAAATATTGAAAGTTCCCATTAACTGCCAACATTTCTTTATGTTCCTTTGAAATTCATTCTGGCTCATCCCAATCCCAGTCCCCAGACACTGTTTTACTTTCTGTCACTATTAGATAAGTTGGCACTTTCTAGTTTATAAAATGGGATCATATAGTATGTAATCTTTCCATCTTCTTTTACTCAGCATAATTATTTTGAAAAGCATTTATGTTGTTGCACTTATCAATGGGTCGTTTCTTTTTTATTGTTGTGTAGTATTCCATTGTGTGGATATACCTCAATCAGTTTCTTTATTCATCTGTTGATGTAAATCTAGGTTGTTTCCAGTTTTGGGTTATTACAAATTAAGCTGCACAAACTTTTGTGTACAAGTCTTTGTACAGATGCATGTTTTCTTTTCTCATGGGAAAAATGTCTAGGGAGTAAAATGTTGAGCTATATAGTTATRTGTGTGGTATGTAAAATTTGGTGCTGGGGATTTGCACATGCTAAGCACATGTGATCTTCAGTGACTAAACTAAACCTCAGTCCTGGGCATGTGTATTGTATTGATTTAATTGCTTAACAAAACCCTACTCACAATGTATTTTTTCAGATAAATATCAGACTGAAGGATTTTAATGTAATCTTCTTTTCTTTTTATTTAATTAATTTTTATTGGTGTGTTATAATTGTACATAATAGTGGGATTCATTGTTACGTTATTTGTACACGCAAACAACACAATTTGATGTACTATATTYCCCAGTATGTCCCCCCTCCTTGCCCCTCCTCCCTCCCCCTGGTCCTTTCTTCTACTCTACTGGTCCCCCTTCTCATTTCATGAGATTTCCTCCCCCCTTCCCCCCTTCTTCTCTGTAGCTTTCATATATGA